AAAATATTTGAATTAAACGTGACTTTAGTGAGTTTTTAGAAAATTTAAAAATATATTCACAATATTATACTGTTATGTTTTTTGTTAATACAAAAAATTTGATAACAGTATTCTGTCCAATTTATTATTATGAACATTATGAACTCACTGTAATAACTAATAACTACCTATATTAATATTTCAATTATAAATAATATCTTAATTATTAATATTTGTACAATTGGCGATTCACATAATATCGTTATACCTATTTATTAAACAGACAAAAGTTTCAAAAATATTCAAATCATGAAACATAATATTATGGTAATTTAAACCTATAGCCATCGAGCAAATAGCTATTACCTACGTATCTATCACATACAATATCATGAAAATAAACGAGTATACCAATTACCAAACATTGAAATAATTAAAACCAAAAGAAAAGGGCCCTAATTCCTAGCACAATAGTTATGCACTTACGTTAAATACTGATTACATTATTATTATTATTATTATTATGGTATAATAAACGGTTTTCACAAATATTGTAATTCGTAGTCGTGTAGTAGCGTTGTAATTACTATCGATAATATTTCCGACGATTCTTAGTAAAAGTATGAAGAAAATTTCTTATAATTCATATAATATAACGGTATTATTGTGCTGTAGTGACATACTATTAAAATATTTAAAACGAAATAATATTGTGTTGTGTACCTATACTATTACACGAGACGACCTTGGAAAGTAAAAAACACAAACAAACGGACGAAGTACGCGTGTATGTACATCACATAGTTCATATTATATAATTTAGCATGTCAATTATTATTAAGTATTAAACTTTATATACCACCTATATATTGTGTGTCTAATATAATAGATAACTTTGCACATGTAGGAAACGATCGTTTCGATCAACTCTGCGAAAATAGGAGTAGGTAATGATTAGTCTTGTATAATATGCAGTGGTGGACTGAACTTAAATTTTAAATGACATAGGTATTTTCATAATTAAGTACTGGTCGCATGAGATGACTGCAAATGATAATAATAATATTACTATACTTTCGATCGGGTGACAATATAATATATATATCCATATAGGTCGAACTATACACATCGTCAAATAAATTAAACTATTATATCGCACTGACGGCAAACGTTAAAAATAATAACATAATATTATGAAATATAATATGGTAAGCATGCTGCGTTGGGTCAGTGATAATATTATTTGATTTTGCTTTGCTTTTGGATTCTTAATGGTTTTATAAAGCGATGTATTTAACAATATTTCCTCCGAAAACGCCTTACAGGTACGCCACTGGTGCGTAGGTATCTGCTTTGTATACGACCACTAAAAATTGCAAAACGACCACTGGACGGAGAATGGTGCAAAAACTGCTAGTGACGTACACAGAACCACGAGGAGCCGGAAAAACCCGAAAACCGGCCAACGGGAGGCTATTGTAAGGATAATACCCATTTATTATACTAAGTATCTTATAACAGCCGACAAGTAAGTATAATAATACTATTATGATTGTATGTAACCTACCTATAAGAAATTAAATAATATGTGTGATGTGTGCGCACGAGGAACGTCATGGAAATAATATTTTATCTTCGTGCCTATACTCATATAAACAAGGTAATTATTTTTATGTATCCACAATAATTATAATCACGTAGTTTCATCGGTATTTTATATTTTTTTTTATTAGCAAATTTGCTTTGTAAAGCTCGTCGTTTTCATCGTACTACTATTATACATCATAATAACATTATAAACACTGAATTACTAGGTACACATTTACACGGCTACTGTGGGCAAGTGAGTATAGTTAATAGTAACTACTCGAATTTATACTCCAAATGAGAAATATCAACACAAAACATAGGTGTTATACCATTATTTTTATTTAAAATGTTTTATTTATTTGTACACGGGGTTATTATCTATTAATGAGTGGAATACAAAATTTCAGTCAATTTTTGTACTTGTGAACAATTGTTTTGTTAGTTTGAAGTCAGTTACGTATGTGGCTACGTAAAACTACGTTTTTACAACGAAAAAACTTATTTTTGAACCAATAGTCTCAAATTAATAACGTTATTGGTAACTACAAAAAAAATTAATTTTGTGTAAAAATTCTATTGACATAAATCTTGTAAATAAGAGAACTTTTATTGCTTTAAAGTTGTATTGCTATTTATTCATGCTTTAAAGTTTAGTTTTTTAAAAGTCACACATAAATGCACAGTGTATTATTATGAATAAAACAGTTTGTTTTTACTTTTATCTATAACGTAAATGCATAAAAATATCATATTACGTGAGTAATTGTATCTAAGATGCATGTTTATTCTATGTGTAAGATAACATTATCAACTTATTTAATCCACAAATTTAGTAAGTAGTGATTGCTTTTACATAGTCGAAAACAATATTCATGTAACACGTTCAATTAAATTATGGTAAAATTCGGCAATAGAAACTTAAAAAAACTATAAACCAAAAAATGATATCACCTATGTATGATTTTATGATATTTTAATGTATTTAATAATTACCAAATGAATATTTCTTCTTCTAAAACTTAGGTGAGAATTTCCACTTTTATTGACTATAAATAATTTTAATCAAAAATATGTACGTATCTCGAGTTATTTTTCGTTTTGTCGTGTTCCGCAAGACCGGATTTAAAATTTTTATTTATATATATATCAAAACAAAAAATGGAATACCCATCTGCCTAATATCTAATGTTAAAATAACAGTGAATCTTTGACATTTCCTCATGTTAGCGTTGTCAATAATTTCGATGATGTGATTGTGAATATCTTGAACTGTTACCTTAGTAGTTATTATCGGATATACGTGCAGGTCATCGGTTATTATGATAGTAAAATAGCTGCTGCAGTTAACGCCGAACAAAAACAATTTCAAAAAAAATTTAAACGAACTTTATAATATTTAAAACTGTCGCTTCGATTAACCGGTCATCAAAACACGCGGACTCATGATATATATCTGTGCGACTAGGTACTCGCGCTGTGTAACAGTCGGTACTTAAGTGAGCATATTGTGCACTGTTCTTCGAACATTGTACTCAAGGACTAACGCATCTACACACATATACTATGTAGCTACTTGTTAACTGTGAAAGTGTATTGCATGCAAGGCGATTACGACCAATAAAACTGCGCTATTCGTTTACAGTAATAATAATTATATTGAAATATATTAAAAAAAAAAAATTAAATAAAACACATACACACATAATATTATGCGATATATCTATATCTATATAAATAAAACAAAGTACAACGATTATTTACAATACGTAAAAGGGTACATTGTTGTTAGGAAGCATTATTATAATATATAATATGTCTTAATACGTCGTCACTAATGTGTCACGTCGTTACGAAAACTACCTAATATAATAATATTCTAAATAAGAAAAAAATAAAAAACTTAAATATTAATAAATTAATAAATTAATAGTAGAAATATTAGGTATGTTGTCAATAGAGGTATGCAGCGATTTATTATATATATAGTATCCGAATCAGACATCGCGGCGCACTAGATGAGATGACCAATAATAATATTATAATGCGCACTAACAATCATAATAACACGTAATTTTTAGTACCTATATCCGTGCACACTCCGGTGAATAATATTATTATAAACACATAATTCTTAAAAAAAAGAAGAAAAAAAACAGAAAAATACGCACTGCCAAAAAGGTCGTGCGAAATAATAAATTAATATTTTAACAAAATGTAATAAATTACTAAAACTCAAATAAAATAATATTTATAGGAAATAGGTATACCGTCCTAACGAATAGTGTGTACGACCGAGTCACGAATCAACAACAATTCCGACCACGGTGAGGGTACTGATAAATGATAATAATATATTGTAATTACTATATTGTATTTTTGAGAAAAAAAAAATTAAAAGGCGATTTTTTTATTTCACCGATGATCGAGAGTCGTTTGCGTTTAAAATGGATCAAATAGGTAGGGTAGGTAATGTGTCGATGTAGAACGGCTACAGTTTAACACATATCTGATATTTTAGATTGATAGTCGCTAATTATAAAAACTATAGGAACATTTTACATAGTGTTAGTACACATTAAATTAATTAATAGTAATAATAATAATATTTATATAAATTAAAGTTATATACTAAATCTATCTGTCAATCGACACACTATACGTAAATGCATGTACATATATATTATTATATAATATTCTGTCCCTCCACCTAAACAATATAATAATATAATGTGTAACATGAAAAAAAAACCTGCAATTGGGTTTGAAGTGTACACATGTCAATTGAAAAGAAATCTGAGTGTGTGGATGTGAGTATGTCTTGTACGGACCTAAGTCGAAACACACACGGCTCGAAGACGTGTTACTTATACTTGTGAAGTTTGATCTCCCGACGATTTTATCAATGTTTTGTTATATTAATTAAATTGTTTGCACACGCTGAAAAGTGGCGTCGCATGTAGCATATTATATTACTGTGTTTATAATTTATATTATATTATACATGTATACAGGGTGAATTTTTCAATCGTAAACCGGGCAATGTGTTATCCGGCTATTGCAGAGTAGTATACGGATTTGTTAATTTACTTGTAAACAAATAAATAGTAATAAAGTAAAATAAATATGCCTACAATAAAACACAAGATTAAATTAACAAAATAAAATAGTGAAAATCGCGAAAATCGTGAAAATCGCTTAAATTATACGCATATGGAAGAAGACTCAAGTTACAGTTAAATAATAATTGTTAATAATTGTTCGGAAGTGTGGATAAAGTTTATCCAAGCAAGCCACCCATTTATTTGTGACAACGAGCCTAAATAAGATGTTTTAGAATCATCCTGTGCATATGTATAATTATATTAAGATATATTGTATTAAGATTTGACTTGTCCTAGGTTGATCGTTGCACGACACCGCCCTCCCCCCTTTTAGTCCGGGGTCTCGGTGGTCGTCGACTTGTGCTGCACGTTCCACTGGATTATGCGTTGCGGAATGATTTGGTCTCGGAGCTCGTGTCCGTCATTGGACAGACTTCCGGGTATGGTGCCGTTGTTCCAGTGCTGGCTACCGTGCCGGATCCGGTGCTGAAGCTCGGTGACCATGTATTCCTGCCCCTGCGACAAGTTGAACGACGAACCAGCATCTCTGCCATCCACCTGTTCGAGCGTGTTCCTTGCGTACAGGTAAATCATGGCGTTGTTCGCCTCCGATTCTGGTACCTCGATCGTGGTAACGTCCATTATCGGATACCTGTGCATGTTCAGGCTGAGCGCGAGCTCGTCGTCCGCGTTTGTGTTACTGTTGTTGGCCTTGGTGGTCGAGTTGCGGACCGGTACGCCGTAACTGTTGTGCACCGCCTCCATCAGAAACCCGGGCACCGGCTTTGGGGTCACTGTAACATTTCGGAACACAGTCATATTGTTAGATGCATTATATAGATAAGACGCGCATAGTGTGCACTCGAGTATCGCTTAACACTACGGCTGTGAACGTGGTGAATCGTGTTGAACAAAACAATGGTTCATTTTCCTAGTCAAATTTTGAAGATCTTAATTTTTTTTACTTATATTATATTATGTTCTCGGAAACTACTGAATCGATCGTTATGATTTTTTTTTTAAATTGAAGAGCCCATTGCGGAAAAGGTTTATGACATTTGATCGATTCTCTAACTTAATAAACAAAGGAGTTATCAATTATTATAAATAATGGCCTGTTACGTTGCAATTACGTATATACGGCGGGCCGTGGGTTTCCAGCTAGGTACCTGAAACCTATCCTTTTTGTCCAAAGGTCAACGATAAGAATTGTTTTGAGAAGTTTATCAATAAAAATAAAATGTACACCGATAACATAAAACTTTCACAAAGCTAGGTACAATTAGCCGGTTTGTCCATAAAAATAAATAAAATAACCCCCCCAAAATATATTAATGAATAAATATTAAATACTCCTAAAAATCCGGGATGATCAACTATGACTTCAATACTATTTTAGGTACACTGTATTTAAATTTTTTTTCGACTACAAAGCTGTACTAAAATAATCTACCTATATTTTATCTCCCTTCTCAATATGTCCGCAATCTACCGCAGGTAAATTGCCTACCTGATAATATACTGTTCGCATTACCATAATATGAGAAACTCACGCGGGATGGCTAAAAATTAAAATTTAATATGATTTTGCTTCTATACCTATGCAGAGCAAATTACACCCAAAAGGAGTTAGTTAATCACATTTTTTTCCCAGGCAATACCGGGTTATTCAGCTATATAATATAAAAATGAACTGTCTGTAGATTAGACCTCTGGGAAGAGATAGGCTAATTTAAAAAAGGTTAAATTTGTTTTTTTTTAATCATCGGATTTTAGTACGGTTAGTTTAGGATTTTGTATTAATTGATTATATTCATCCACCGTAGGTAGAATTAAGTAATAACGACAAACTTGGTATAACTTTGATACTTTAGAGTTAAATCACACATAGACGTACAAACAGCACGGGGTCCGCGATCCACTGCCTACCTGATAAAATACTGCTGAGAATCAGAATTTTTATTTCGTGCAATGGAAAAGTTAAAAGAATTTTTGAACACCATACACCGAATATTAAATAACGAATTGAACAAAGTTTTAGTCATATAGAGTTGGTACATTTAACGGGCAACGAAGTGCACGGGATCAGCTAGTATTATATACATATTATATATAGTATATTGTAGAAAGTACGGCGTAAAGTACGGACAACAATATTGTTTGAGTAAATATTGAGTATTTAAAAAATGATCTAGGTATAAGAACGGTAATATTGTTTATAGTATTGTAATTTTGTCATATTTTCCCCGATGACTAGATAACAAACATTGGTAACGCTGTTGCTATGAAGGCTACCGTTATTCTGAATTTAATATAAATTTCCATTAAAAAGTGTGACTCTTTCATTTATAACTTAATTTTTAAACGCACGATTTTTATGATTTGTACAAAAGCACATTCTACACAATATTTCTGATGTTTTGAAGTTTACTAGGAGTTAATTGATGCATTAGAAAATTAGTTATGTCATATAACAAATTTACCCTTCTTTTACACAGTTTAAACAGTCTAACTCATGCTTCAATATAATATACACACACGGTCGTACGATTATTTTTGTTTTTTACTTAACTCACACTACTATATCGCTCACCAATATTTTTTTGTATCAGAACGTAAAATATAAAACCCTATTATTAACTATCTATTTTTTTGGTTTGTTAATTAAATGTTTGGTAATATTTGGTATGTTAATATTTGTTAAAATAAATAAATATTACTCATTTGTGCGTCTCCCGAACAATTCATGGGTCTAAAAAATTTGGCGACTGGAAGCAAGTTGCCATCTTCGTCTTCAACTTCAATACTGATTCCGTAATTCCGAACTGGGTTCTTGTGCCAAGCTTTAGCTGCATTACGAATGTTCCATTCTGTCCATTTCTCGCTGAAATATGGCACCATACGGCTGTCCAATAACTTCCTCTTTACAGCTAAGTAATAAATTTCGTTAGTAAAAAGTAAATAAAAAAATATACTCATTCATATGCATTACTTCTTTTCCTCTTAAGTGATCTAGTGTTCAAGTAAATCGATACGCGAATCAGTCTCTCGTCCATTATTATTGGTACTACACCAGCAGTAGTCAAATTTGACGGCTTCTTAGTTTCTACAAATAATGCTGGCTGACATGATTGAGAATCATCGGTCTATTGATTAATACATTAAACAAACTAATAATTACACACCGAGTTTTTAAATAATAATAATCAGATTTATCTGTACATACCTCATTACTCGATTGCGAATAACAAGATAAAAATTGTTTGTACAGCCTGAGTCTAGCCGTATTTACGTTTACTGTGATACCCTTGGACGATTTGGGTAAACTAATATTAAACATTAAATTCATCGATACCTTTGTGTTCCAGACATCTTCATTTGTGTGCTTAGGCAACTCACCTGTGCGTAATTAAAATCACAAAATATTATATCATACGTTATACTGTGATTATTTATGGTACGAACTACTAAATTACAAATTGTACAGACAAATTTAACTTACAAGTAGGGTAGAAGCTTTGCGTTTTTTCTGTAAACGTGTCGGAGGGATAAGACGGAATCGGACCCGTTTTTGTCACTGGGATCGGCGGGGGTATTGGTTTCATCCCTCTTAAGTTTATCATAATCTGACGTTTAATATATTCAAGTGCTTCTCGTCTGTCTCTACATCAACAAAGCAAAAAACACGTATTAAACAGTGTTTGGTTTTGTGCAATCAATAAAACAACAACAACAACAACAACAACAATAACAACAATAACATCAACGAAACAATAGCATACAGGTAACTTATTAGGTATTAATAACAATAATAACAGTAATGGTACACTAGCTACGGTTGACAACAGTTAACACAACACATAAGGTTAGATGAGAAATACAATCACAAACACACGCACACTTACGGCGTCGATGATTCAACATACCGGGCCTCGGGATCTTCAGACTCGGGGCTGTGAATAAACAAATTTCATTGGTGTATGAGCAATTAAATCAAAAATAAATACAAGTGTTGCGTGGACGCGCGATGAAGTATATACTTTTTGATTATATTCTAATAATATCCAATCGCAAATATTTTCACCGTGTTTTTACGATATGACCCGAAAAATTATTAATCGACTCGAGTAGATAGGTATAAATCGGATAATATGAAATATTAATGGTTACGTTTTAAGCTCCGTCTGGGAAACCAAGGCCGGAGACCGTGTAGACAGTTCCCATTAAACGAGATCGTCGCACAATTACCGGCTGCAAGAGAACAAGTCAGATTTATTGTAAATGCACCTCTTTACTTGCGTGTACTTTAGGTTTTTTATTTTTATTATTTTTATTTTTTGTCTCGATTTATTAACCGGGTCACAAACGAAACCAAAAACGAAAAATAAAAACCGAAACCAACTAAACCTGTAATCGTTTAAAAAACGCCCGAGCAGACGCATTAAAATCTGTCTGGAAATGCAGCCGTCAAGTGCATTTCCCCCTAAATTTCGGTTTAAAATAAATAAAAACATAATGGTCCAGACGAATAAATTAAGGAGCCGAGACGAAAAAAAAAAATTAAATCGTACACACGCGTAATCGTCAAACATTACCTGTACCTACGGTGTACTACACTACAGCACGTATACCCAACATAATTTTGTAATTTAAAGAGCGTCGGGGTCTCATTAAAAAATAAAATTAAAATAAATTTCGCTTAAGACGGATTTTTATCTAACAACTTCAATCCATCAGTCTACATTTATATGTAACAGTTTTTTTTTTCGTGTTAAGTGGGAACATTTTTTACCTCGCACCTATTGTTTATGAATTTAAATTATCTGTGTTCTTATAATAATTTGTGTAAAGTATATTCTACATGAACATGACACATATAATATAGGTATATAAGTACTATAATAATACCCTCTCTTCCCTTCTACATAATAATTACTATACATTTTTTTTTTGTTTTGGATAACTAGGAAATTTGAATATTTTCTGACATCCTATGATTTTGAAATCGGTATATTAGATATTCCATTAGATTGTGTTGCAACGGAAATCGATTTTGGGTATCAACCAGACATACAATTATTTATGAATAATGCACAAACTTAAAAACAACAACATTGCTGATCCGGATGTTTTAGATTTTAGGTAGAATTAATTTACGAGTTTCCATTTAAATTGCAATTATGTAATCCATTCTATTTTGGTTGATATTTATAATATTTATGTACGAGAGTTGATTTTTGATTTGTTGATATTCCATCTTTCAGAAAACTAGAAGTGTTGTACTACTACCTAACCTATAAGATTATAACAATAAAGATTAAAAAGGCATTTCTTAAAAAAAAGTTGCATAAATCTTTTATTAAGAATTATTACAGAACTATATAAAAAAATGAATAATATTTAGGTAATATATAAAACATTTTTAAAAGTGCCTACTAAATATAAGAATTAATTCTGCAGTTATCTTAATCCTCTTCTCTGCTATATAAGAATAGGTATTATATGTTTTTATGGAAACTAATAAACTATATATTAATATGTAATTATAGGTTAATTCGTTAGTAATTAACTAATAAATTACATGATATGATTTTGAAGCACAATTGTTTCATATATGTAGTAAAATAACAAGACAAGTACGTTCTGAACTACGTATTCGTACTATATATTATTGTGTTATACATGTATATATTATTTAACTGTATCAATCGTACAAGTTATTGTATTATTTGATAAAATGTAATAAATTAATAAGTAAGTAACTAATATTAATAGATGTTCTTATATTTATTAAATATTTAATTTTAAAATTAAATTATACTGATATTATGACATTTGTTTATAGAATCAAATTTTATTAACAATCTTTAACCACGTTTTTATTGTAATTATCTTTAAAAAGTTTTTTTCAAATGTTATTGTATAGAATATAGGTATATTATAATTAGTGGACAACTTGTTTATATTTTTACCGACGAATATTATTGAATTGGCTATAAGGAATTATATGTTTTTTGTGTTAAATAATGATAATAATACATATAACATTATTGTCGACATATATTTTGTGAGTTTGTGACTAGATTAATTTTCGAGCATATATATAAAATAAATATTAACCTGAAATAGAGATGAAATAATTAATTGCTTAAGTTTTTATACATAAACTTTTTACATTTTAACATTTGGAATTCTGTTTTACACATAATATTTCTATATTTGATATTTTTACAAAATTTACCAGCTACAGTTTTCTATCTAAAGTACATATTATTAAATTATATTAATTAAATTTTATTTTTAGGAATTAATAATATGATAATCTGGTAAGTATCATTTCTATAAATCAAATTAATACGATTTACACGGTCTTAATAAAATTACGTTAATTTAAAAGAAAATTAATATAATGTTTATTTGCCTTGGAGTAATATAATTACGCACAATCGTTTATCATTTTTGTTGACTGTCCAACGTTTATTTACGTATAATATATTATATTATGCGCATTTCCCTTTTAAACATTTTTTTTTCTGCTATCGAACTAAACTCTTGTTTTTTTCACGAGATTGTATGGTCACGCCCAGAGGGATTTGCTCTAAATTTAGTACCCATGTCAGATGTACACATGGGCCCACGTATGATACAACTCAGCGTGTTGGTGGCAAACCGAATACTAAATAGTGTGAATTCCACGGTTCGTTAAAGTTGTTTAAACGGTCGCAAGCACAATGTTTTAAACGAGCATAATCCGTCACCGTAGATGAAGTTTGATTCCTTCGAAGTGACAGGCGAAATGAAATTATTTCTAATCTAGGGTGATGCCGGTGACGGTACACTGGTAATACGCCAATAAACGTATTAACTATAATAATACAATTTAAGCACATAAACATGCGCGCGTACACAAGTGGGATTTGGGTCGTGAAAATAGTCATGATGTTCTATTCATAGAATACGAAATGTAGTATAGGCCGGACGATCATGAATAAGACGTTTCGCGGAATTAAATTTCCATAGCTGTATCTATATAAAATTGGTCCAGGGGCCAGGTTGCGACTACCATGATATTGGAGGCCTCTTATAAAATATTTCAATACTATCGATCGTCAATACGTCCTTTCCAAAAAAAACCTCGAGCGCCCCGGTACAATGCCCACCACCCAAGCACCATCGCTTAATCCATCACTGCGGGTAACTAACTATAATACCAGGTGTATATACCATATAAATCTTGTCGTAACCTGCACGCTGCAATAACCATATAACCACAGCAACGTCGGTATCAACGTGCGAACCCAACATAATATTATAGTGCGAGTACCTATTATAGGTAAACGGTGCGAAACTTTTATATAACGAACTTATTTATTTAAAGACGTTTTCTGTTTAATGAAATAATTTTGGGAATCAAACCAAATTCGGTTTGATTGTATTTAACGAATTTCTCTATACCTAATACAAATTATTTTCCAGTGAGACATCGTAACATTGTGGACCACGTGAGGTAACAATGGGGGTGAACACTGCCCCCCCCCCCCGTGTAACCTGTCTTATATAATTTATATACGTAATTATACCAAAATAGATGAGTTATAATATTACTTGTCTCTTTGTTCAAACAAGGTAGTTGGTGAAGACGAGTCCTGTGAATCGTCTGCCGACGGCATGTCCCCCATCATCATTTCCGTGTCAGCGCTGAAGACGGGTATTGTTTTGGTTTCAGTCAGTCTAGTTTCTATGGTCTGTAGTTCTTGTTCGGACATTTTAAGCAGCTGATTGTTTAAAATACGGGCGAACGCTGAAGTCGGATCGGTGAGCTGGCGTATCGGGACCATCACGACCGAGGGATCGGGTGACAATTCCGCGGACTCTTCTATTTCCGGTTCCCCGGAGTCGGTGGCGGGCCGGGACTGCACGGCGACTGTAACCGCCCATAGTAAGACGATGGCTACCAGTAACCGTTGCGTGAGCGTCATCATGATGACGGATATGGCGATCGTCTTGGACGTGCTATACGACGGCGGTTATAATGTAATATGATAATATGTCGTTGGACGATAGCAAATATTATATCGGAATATCACTATAAAATATTCTACTCCAACTGCAGCAGTGTGGATGAGATGGAGGAATAAATAGTGAGAGAGAGAGAGTGAGAGTGATGTTTGAGGACACCGTCAATTTGTTGATTGCGAAAAAATCGTGTGCCGTAGTCTCGAGTGCGCTTATGGGGCTCGGGGTGGCTCAACGCAAGCCGGTAAACGAAAACGCGATAGAACCGTAACTAAAAAAAAAATGCGAGAAAAAAAACACAAACACGAATGTTTTATCGTAGTGGTTATATTGTGTCGCAGTCCGTGTGGCTTAGGCGATTGCACGCGTTGTTCTGGCACTTGACGTCGATCTGGCGCTTCGCGTCGTCGTTGTCGTCGTTCGAAGACGCGTGAGTGTTGCTGCTGGGTTGTGTACCCCGTGAGCGCGAGAGCATTGGCGTGCGTGTGTAAAAATCGTGTGTTTAGTGTTTACATTTATACACCGCGCCGCCTCCCCCGCCGCCGTTGCACCACCACCCTTGGACCCGGCGGTGCGCGTCTGTACGTCGCGTATGTACCTACGTGCCGCGCCGCGCTTCCTTCTTCTTTTTTTACGTCTCCTGTTTCTTCTTCTCCTCTTTTTCTTCTTGTTTTTTTTCCTTCTCCTCCTCTTATTCGTCTTCTTTTTCTTCCATACCACTTCCATATAATACCGATATTGCGTCTTTATCTTTCCTCCTATATGCCGATATGCCGCCACCTATATTTTATCAATACTATTATTATTATTATTATTATTATTATTATTATTATTATTATTATTATTATCCTAATCATGATTCACGATGGTCATTGTTGTACATTTTAATATTGTTTGGTCTCTGACCTCTGTAGACTCTATTTCAATCATTCACCGGGGCGTGTGAGGAACTTTTGGTACAATACTGTCCAAAGAATCAAACTTATAGAACAGGTATTTTTTTGGCAATATTTCATCTATATATTGTTAAATTGTTTACAAGACAGAGTAGTTCGGTGATTGTGTTTTTAATTATTTTGCAGGTAATATATTATTATACGGCATAGTATAGGAACTAACTCATTATTAAAGCAAAAAATGGGGTGAGCATGCTTGGCGAATCATTCTGTATAATATTATCTATAAAATATCTATTGACATTTATATTGGTTGAACACTAGTAAAATACAGTATAATATATTGTCTGTATTTTAATATTAATTTATTAGATGGAAATCGTGTAAATTATCATTTAAGATCAACTTTCAAATAAAAGTAAGAGACCCCCGAGAAGTTTTTTTTTTAAAAATATTTGATTAATTGAAATTATAATAACCTTTAAGAACCAAAAAAACCTACTTTAAAATATCAGTTTCGTGTTTGTCAAAACGTTTTAGGGTTTGGCCCTAGTACCCGAGTCTGTGTTAGCCCTACACGAGATAGTATGTTATAATTTATAAGAACATAAGGTAGGTATATAAACTTGTATAATATTTTATATTTTGTGCTCTATATTCGCTCTTTAAAAAAAATGAACAAAATGACGTCCGGAACACACCAAGATCTCTTGTTCAAACTCCAAACTGCAATTATTATACAAATCGTGGACACCGAAAGTCAACAGTCACAAGGCTGCAGGTGCCACACCGCCCAAAGTGCAGTGTACAATATTATAGGACGTAGATACCTACACATTAAATAAAATATAAAAATGTAATCATATGTACAGGTACAATTAGATAGTCGGTATTATTTTATCATAATAATATAATGTAATATAGTTTTTTACAATACAAACTTTTTTTCGATACTTAACCAGTGGCGCAACTAGGGTTCAAATCTTGGGGGCGCTACCATAATGAATCGCTCACAAATTAACCGAAAGCGGCGACGATACGACTCGGTGTCTTCAGTACATTATCGCACCAACCGCGTCCCGCTCACCCACCCGTCCACTGATGCGGTAGTAGACCACATGCCGCCACTGTCGTGTTCTAATCGAGTCAGCGGTTTCGAGATGGTGGCGAAAAAAATTTTCCCCCGATTATTCGACCAGACGCCAGGATCCCGAGTGACGAGACACCAGACACGCGAGGAGGACGATAATGTATTATAATAATATTATTATTATTATTGGCGAGACATAATTTATATTATTATAATGTATAAAGTGTATCGCGTATTGTCAGGCGAAAACAACAATATACGCACGTCGGCAAAAGGATGTAGAGCGGGTGTAGTGTTTCGTCTTCTTCAATTCGGTTTCAATGAAATACCGGTCACGGCGCGTTAAATAATAACACGTATACCATGTATAGGTAGTCTACAACTACAACTGGAGTTTAAACTATATTATTATTATTATTGTTAAATGTGCACCCTTTGTCTGAAATTCATCATACAGAAATAACCAAATTTTTAGAATTCGTGGACATTCTTGATGTTATTATAATGCAATATTTTTTGTTTCGTTTTTCTGCTCGCTGCCTCGGTGGATATCGTAAACTATAGAATATTATAAAACCATACAATATATTTCACAATCATCGATAAATTTAACATTATATACGAGTTATGACTGCTACCTGCACATAAAAACACTTAAATTGCTCTAATCGGATGGTCAATAGCCAATAGGTAATATAGCTATAACTTATAAGCCTATAACTATTGAATTTATGTAAATAACACAATAATTAAAGTAGCATAAAAAAAATTAAAGGTACCTATAAATGTTATAATAAACACGATTTAGTTCTAATGAAAATATGTTATATTTTTCAAGATAATAAAAAATGACTCAATTGATAAAATACCAAATAATCTTAATATGTTACAACAAAATAACGACTAATGCCAAATGATAAATAATAATCAATTTCCTATATTATAGGTACCTATGTAGAAATTCACACTAGTAAACTCACTAGTTTATTACATTAACACACAATTGCATAGCTGAACAAAATATTATAAACATCCAATTATCGCCATACGCACCTATATACCTTAAAAATAAAACGGTTACTATAACTATTACCTACTATCACTATTATGATTGAAATTTAAAGCAATATTATAATTTTGAATTGTGATTAAAATAATGTTTTAGGTATAAAAACATATTATATTATCAGTGTAATATCATCGAATTACAATAAGTATTCAAATTAAATTTTATACTCTTTAATTTCAATAAATATTTAAATTATAATAAGAAAATCAATTTCTTATTATCCAAGTAATTCCATGGTTGAAATTGAATAGTAACTGGATTTTATTACTTTTATTTTTAATATTTATGGATCTAATAAAAGATACGCTGAAGTATCAAAAAATTGTATTAGTTACCACCTGTTATTTTTAGTAAAATTTCAAACATTTAATGAATTTCTCTTAAATCTTTTCTTTCGATTAACAACGCAAGTGTCAGTTTTCTCTTCCTGGCTTTCTAACCCAAAGACAATACTTATTCGCTCAAAATCGCTTTTTATGTTTTCGAGTAATCTTAGAAATTACCCACAACAAAAATTACAGAGAAAAATATTTTTGAGGGTAAACTATTCTATTGATTTGTCTAAATATTGTCTCTAAACAATTTAATATCTACCTATAAGTCGAATATTAACTTAAATAATAATAAAATATAAAACCGATATGTCAAGCCCACAAAAATGTTATCCACTATAATATTTTTGCAATAAGTGATTTTACTCAAAGATTACTCAAAAGTCATAGACAAAAATTAATTTTTTTCCATGAACGCATTTTATCTATACGTTGTGCGTGGGTTTGAGAGATAAAACTGCGCTGTCATCATCTTAAGCAGGTATGTAGTTTATATTTATAATGGGATTTAGACATTATTTACTACTATATGACTAGATGAGTGATGATAGTATACCGTATAGTACCTTACTACAGATTATAATATTATTTGCTTTTGGAGTTATTAATAATTGAATGTACTAGAACCTAGAGTATAAATTTCACAAGACTTAAAAACCAAAAGGTATATTACTAGTTCAATTACCCGTCTTTATTATAATTACCTCAAATTTAAAATGTACACTGTTCAGAATATCTTATCAAAATATAATGCTTCGATTTTCAACTTCAGTATTTTCTAAGGTGGGAAAGTGAATCTAGTTGGTGCAATAGGAAGTTTGAAATTTAAAATTCCCAGTAATTTTCAAAAGCGCCAGGAAAACAAATAAAAAAAATTATGAAAAAACGGGAATTTTAGACAATTTTTACACAGAATTGGTTAATGACAAAATCTATTTTGTTTTTTGGTGTAACTCTAAAAGAAATGACCGCAGGACGCAGATATATGCAATTTTCACTGAATGTTTATATTAGGATTTTATATACACCATAAAATGTTTTGAGTCATTCTAAGCTATTTATAGGCATATGACATTTTTGATTTTGATTTTTTTTTTTAATTAATGTCGATAAAAAAAATTTCAAGTAAATTGAAAATATTATACAAGGTTCCTCATAAGTTGTTGTTTGTGGAAATTAAAAAAAAAGTTGAGCTCAAATCCACAATAATTTTTTGTGACTTTATGAGTGTTAGAATTCGGACATAATTCGTAAAAACCACAGCAATTTGCAAATTATTTTGATTTAGAAATTCATAATTATTTCTATTTTTATATTTAAAATTTAAAAATGTAACACAAGATAAGTTTGTGTTAACTTCATCAAAAAAAATGCATACTGGTAACTGGAAAGTCAAATTAAAGTTTTAATAACTTTGAAGTTTGATATTCATTAGATTTCTCATAGAATGATTTTCTTATTGGTTGTAATTCAAAAACAAATAACCATAGAGTACTTTAAATTTGCACCATAAATGTTTATTTTATCATTTTCTATATTTGATAACATTTCCAAAATACTTTGACTGGTTTTGAGCTAT